AATGATAGTGTTTATTATAAACTAAAATAAAATCTCAAAAAAATAAAATTAAATAATAATAACAAAAGGTAAAATATTAGTTGTATATAATAAAGCAGTATTATATTGAGTCACAGATCAAATAATAAATAAAGAAAAATTAATTATATTTATTAATCTTAAATGTTTCTCGTCAAAAATCCGCTTGTAAACGAGGTAACCAATTAGTATAATATTATTGTGTCTCCGGATTTGTTTATGACGAACGAATTGTAAATAATGATTTGAATAACTTGATTTCTTTATTAGACATTGTGTTCAGTTACCCCCATCGCACTCAAATCCTAAAGCCTATAATATATTCATAAATTCTGCTCACTTCACCGTCATGTGGCATGCTCGGAGACCCTATAACATACAGTATTTATGTACTACAGGTTAGGTACAGATGCATTGTTGATTATTGAAGATGTTCGTTCAATAGAGAGGACAGGTTCATGACGAACAATGATAATCTACAGTTGACAAACCGATGTCCAACACTTTGAAATTTTTCCTGATATAAGAATCAATATACATACTTTTTATTAATATTAGATTCTCATGCGCTGTGGCGTCTTTTAAAAATTTAAAGAGAATAATGGCTGAGATCGTGGGCCTCAATGCATGTTCAATATTCTATAGAACTATTCGATCTTATTTAGTAAAGATATATGTAATTCGAGTAGATTAGTTGCGCGACCAAAATTCAGCAAAATTCTGGGCCGAAATTCATCGGAGTTAGGGATAGGGTTAAGTCGGTATTAGTAATAAACCATATTATAGCAAAAATTATCATCTGGGTAATTTTACTTAGTGGGCTATTGATTTATTAGCAAAATTTTTAGTGATTTTTGGGTAATTCCGACCTGCGCAACTAATCTATTCCAATTTAAGCATACATACGGAAAATACTTACGTGGCGCAAAATATAGTTGCCATTGTTTTTAAAAATAAGTAAATGCTTCAAAAATTAGTTATGATTTTCATGATTTTCATAAATTTATTCTTCTACGTATCGTACTGTACATACTATAAAATTGATTTCACCTAAGTCCTCTCGTTAGATTTTCCGGAAATACGATTTTTGATGACATGAACGTGCAGCACAGCAGTAGCGGTAGTTTGTTTTCCGTCTCAGCCAAGGATTATGTTATTATCTAGTCTGTCGTACAAAATTATAATGATGGTTACCGCACGGAGAAACCCAAATTTTGTTTTTTTTTGAAAAAATAATAATAATAATAATCATAATAATACAGTTAATAATAAATAAATTAGTATATAATCAATTCAAAATTTTTTTTATTTAAAGGCAATAATTCCTTGTCTTGAATACTCATTAACGCATCAAAATGACATATTCATCTGGTGTCCAATTCGCGCTAAACATGACACCGGAAATTTTTAATTCTAACGAACACTCATTTTATGATAAATTGTTAACCATGTCACCACCTATAGAATTATTTATGACAGTTGATGAATTAACCTCACCAGCTTATAATTCTAGACGTGCAAAACAATATAGAAAAAACCCCTCATCCATTACACCACCCAGACCACCAAACGGATTCGTATTATATCGAAAAAATTGTTACGCGGAAATAAAATTAACCGGAACGAAAACTAAGAACGAAAACGTTTCAAGTCTTGCCTCACAAAGATGGAAAGAAAACCCACAAATTCATTACTATTTCGAGATTGCCGCTGAGGCGGCAAAAGAGAGGCATAATTTATTATACCCCGGGTATAAATATTCTCCTAAGAGAAAAGACACAAACCAAAAAAAGAAATCTAAAAGGGTTCATAAATCAAAAATCGGTTCGTCATGTTCGAATGACTTTATTTTGAATGAGGAAACTTCACCCGTCGACCCTCATTCTACGGAATTTCAATATAATAATTTCGATAATAGTTTTTTTAATGATAAATCTAATGAACAAGAATTTCTTGAATTATTCGAAGAAATTATTAATATCGATATAAATTCGTAAATATAATGTTAACGTTAACATTAAGTTTTAAAGTGTTTTTTTTTTTGTTTTTTTTTTTAAGAAATTTTATGCATATCAATATATTGTACAGTATATAACCTATAAGATAAATTTATGGTTTATTACTATTTGTAAGCTTTTATGATTTTTTTTTTTTAGTTTTTAAAAAAAAGAACGAATGTTATAACGTGAATAAAGAAAAATAAATAAATGATTATGAAAAAAAAGGATAATAATTAATTTTAGGTTTTTAAATAATATTTTTAAAATTTTATTGTTCCTTAGTTTAGAAAATTTGTTTGATCACTTTTCTATTATGTGTAAGTTTTATATTAAATTTTTTTTATTTATTGAAAAGAATTATATTTACATTTTTTTTTTTATTAAAGATTTTTTTATAAGTACAGTCAGTCTCTTGCTATTTTTACCATAAAGTTTTTTAATTCTTTTTTTGATTCATTATTGCACAGTAAGTACAGTATTAACGTTAATTTCATTATGTATTTTAGAAATAAATAAAAATTGATTAAAATTTAGTAAACCAAATGCCGCAACATTTCATATCTAAATTTATCCATAATTCGCGTAATTTACAACAGATCCGAAGCTGACGAGTTGAAGTGTGGCATGAAAAATTCAGTTGTTGGATCTTAGTCGCGTGACAAATTTCTTTAAAGTTTGTTTATGTTAGGTTAGTGTTGATATTAAAATTAGATTAATAAGTGGTTATATAGTAAAATTGTCCAAGGAAAATTTTTTGTTAGAGCACAAAAGGAAGTTTCTTGTACAAATTTATGAAAAAAGAC